AAATGAAATATTTATTTAGATCAATTTTAACCATTTTCGCTGGTGAATTTTGATGATAACAAACGGGAAAGTTTTCTTAGTCTATTTGTATGCTAAAAAAAATTTATTCACTTCGTCGAACCTTATCAGTGTCTGTTGGTGAAATTTGCTGGAACATTTGACCTTTTAAATGATTATTTACTAACTTGCTGATAACTTTCAATGTTTCTCTTCAATCTTTAAGACGAATTTTGCGACTTAAAATTTAAAAATTGTGCTATCTATACAAAATTCATAATTTTTATTGATTGAATTGAATCAAAGAAGAATTATCGATCATAGTTACAATTCATTTGTTTTCTCCAGTTCCTTATAACAATTTTTCAACTGAGATAATTCTTGACGCAACTGAGTTAATTCTTGACGCATCTGAGAGATTTCCTTAGTCTGACTTATTTTCTTAGCGATTTGTTGATCAAAATATTCTCCACCAAGAATTCGTCTTTCTAACATATCGATTGTCGGTGGACACTTTCGGGCAAATTTAGGTAACTCACTGAGGACTCTGATCCTATTTCTTAAAATTTGTACATCGTGACAAGTATTTGTAAAACCAATCGTGTCAAGTTCAGTCAATTGATCGAATATGCCATATCCTATGTGCTGCACTGGATTATCAGGGAAACTGATGTACTGCAACTTTGGATTTTTCTGGAAAAGGTCGAAATCAAGTGACGATATTCTATTTGACCACAAATCTAATTGTATTAATTTCGGAAAAGCGCTGATATCTGATTGTTGTATGTTCTCAATTAAATTATGGTGAATAGCGATGGATTTTAGATTCGGGAAGAAGTGATTGATATTTCGAGGCAAAAACGTTAAATTTTGATATTGTTCCATGGTTAATCCTTCAACGTCTTCATTTCTTCTACCACCAACGTGATTCGAAGATACTTCGGTCACATTATTTCGATCGCCGACAAAAATTATTCTTCCGTTGTTGCAGCGATAAAGTTCCTCAAACCACTCAACACTTTTCACAGTGTATTCACACTCAAGAACAAGTGCATTGCTCAGCACAAATGTGGAGATAATTAAAGTCACAATCGAAATCGAAAACCTTTTATTTAAAGAAAGAAGAAAGATTATTAGAAAATTATATGAAATTAAAGATATTTGTCTCACATGTTTACTGCTTTAGTTTTTGCTCTTTATTAAATAAACAAAAACTTCCAATTCACANAATTTAAATAAATTAAAGACTTATTTCACGTACACAAAATGTTGCTGAACAACTTTTACAATTGACGTGAATAACTAAAAAAATAAACAAATAAAAATTTTAATTAATCCTTACCGTGAAACGTTCAAACGAAAACTGTAATGAGTGAGAATCAAAACTCAATTTTATACAAATTCATAGATAAGAAGACGAATAATGAAGAAATTAGCATAACCTTGAGGAACATCAGCTGACTGATAGCTTCATCCACACGATGACCACATGATCACCGCGAGTTGAAATTTTATTTATGAATTTATTTTTAATAAAGGCTCAAAACAATTTTTAATCTAATGAAATATTTATAGCCAAATTAAAGTCATTGAAAAATGTTGGTGAAATTTGCTGGAACATTTGACCTTTTAAATGATTATTTACTAACTTGCTGATAACTTTCGATCTTTTTCTTCAATCTTGAAAACGAATTTTACGACTTAAAATTTAAAAATTGTGATCTCTATACAAAATTCATAATTTTTATTGATTGAATTGAATCGAAGAATTATCGATCATAGTTACAATTCATTTGTTTTCTCCAGTTCTTTAGAACAATTTTCTAAGTGAGTTAATTCGTGACGCAACTGAGTTAATTCTTGACGCATCTGAGAGATTTCCTTAGTGTGACTTATTTTCTCAGCGATTTGTTGATCAAAATATTCTCCACCAAGAATTCGTCTTTCTAACATATCGATTGTCGGTGGACAATTTTGGGCAAGTTTAGGTAACTCTTTGAGAACTCTGGTTCTATTTTCATAAATAAAGATATTGTGACAAGAATTGTAAAAACCAATCGAATCAAGTTTAGTCAAATGATCGAATACGCCATATCCTATGTGCTGCATTGGATTTGATGTGAAATCGATTGTTTGCAACTGTGGATTTTTCTGGAAAAGGTTGAAATCAAGTGACGATATTCTATTATACGCCAAATCTAATCTTATTAATTTCGGGAAAACGTTTATATCTGATTGTTGTATGTTCGTATTGAAATATGGATTTAATGTGATTTGATCATAGTAATCTATGAAGTATTTATAATGTTAAATACTTCAGTCAATAAACTAACTTCGTAGAGACTAGTTGTGTCTTTTATTTCTCTCCCAAGAATTACCATTCCCAACAGTTCGCAATTAAATTTTCTCTAACAACGATGGATTTTAAATTCGGAAAGAAGTTATTCATATTTCGGGGCAAGAACGATAAATTTTGACCTTCCATCATATGTATTCCTTCAACGTCTTCATTTCCTCTATCATCAAGGTGATTCAACGTCACTTCTGTCACATTATTTGGATCACCCACAAAAGTTATTCTACCGTTGGCGCAATGATAAAAGTTAGCTGCTAACCACCAAGTTGTCCTTTTATATTCACATTTAAGAACAAGTGCATTGCTCAACACAAATGTGGAAATAATTAAAGTCACAATCGAAATCGAAAACCTTTTGTTTAAAAAAAGAAGAAAGATTATTGGAAAATTACATGGAAATTTAAGTTGTTTGTCTCACATGTTTACTGCTTTTTATTGATAATTAAACTAAAAACTTCTAATTCACAAGTATTCAAACCTTTAAGCAGATAATTTAAGTAAATTAAAGGGTTAATTCACATACAAAAAATACTGTTGAACAACTTTTACAGTTGTCATGAATAAACAAACGAAAAATTAAATAATCCTTACCCGTGAAACGTTTTAACGAAAACTGTAAAGAATGAGAATCTAGAACTCATTTTTTTACAAAAATCATAGATAAGAAGACGAATATTGAAGAAATTACCTTGAAGCGTAACCTTGATGAGTGTCAGTCGACTGATAGCTTTATCACCACACGTTGACCAAATGATCTCCGCAAGCTGAAATTTTATTTATGAATTTATTTTTAATAAAGCTTCAAACATTTTTAATCTAATGAAATATTTATACTCGAATTAAAGTCATTAAGAGGGTATTCATTTATTAAATCTAGGATTTGTTGATGTTGAATAACTTGAGAATAATATGAAACATTGTGTTAAGTTTAATCCCAACTATTCTGAGATGTTCATGTACATATTCAAAAGATTGAAATGATTTGAATTTTAAATTTAATGAAAGTTTTTATGCATTGTGTGAAACCCAAAATAGTTATGAAATGTAAAATCGATTTATTTAATCTGAATTGTCTTAAGATATTGCAATGTCGTAATCATAAATTTCCAATGACAAAATAGGTTTTATTATCTATTGAACAGGAAAAAAGAACATAAAAGAAATACAACAATCATCATTATAGGTACAATTTATTGATCAGAATGTGTCAATTCTTTATATAAAAGCATTTTTTAGATAGAACAATTAGAAATGGAATATAAATTTGGATGAATTTTATCAACTATTTCAGCTTGGGAATTTTGATATGACAAAATGAAAAATATTCTCAGTCCACTTGTATGTAAATTACAAATTTTTACTCAATTCGTGAAACCTTATCAGTTTCTGTTGAAGAAATTTGCGAAATTTTTACAATATTTGACCTCTTAAATAATTATTTGCTTACTTGCTGATCACTTTCAATGTTTTACTAAAAACTGAGTTAATTCTTGACGCAACTGAGATAATTCTTGACGTAACTGAGTTAATTCTTGACGCAGCTGAGGGATTTCCTTAGTGTGACTTATTATCTCAGCGATCGAAATGTTCTCCACCAAGAATTCGTCTTTCAAACGTATCGATTTTCGGTGGACAATTTTGGGCAAGTTTAGGTAACTCTTTGAGAACTCTGGCTCTATTTTCATAAATAAAGATATTGTGACAAGTATTTCTAAAAGCAATCGTCTCAAGTTTAGTTAATTGATCGAATACACCATGACCTATGTGCTGCACTGGATTATCACTGAAATTGATTGCTTCCAACTGTGGATTTTTCTGGAAAAGTTCGAAATCAAGTGACGATATTCTATTAGACCACAAA